TTGTTATCATGATATCTCAAGAACCACTGGAGATTTAAACTTCAAACTTAGTGATAGTGTGTATCACTATAGGAAAACAATCTGATTACATTTTGGAGCACGTAGGTCAAAGGTCAAAGGTCACAGGGCTCATTATGTATGCAAAAACAGCTTGTGATCGCGTTATCTGAACAACCGATTGATGGATTCCTGCCAAACTTTGGTCATGTATGTATCTTGCAGAGCTGATGAACTGATTAGATTTTGGGGTCACGAGGTCAAAGGTCAAAGGTCACAGGGCTCATTATGTATGCAAAAACAGCTTGTGATCGCGTTATCTGAAGAACCGATTGATGGATTCCTGCCAAACTTTGGTCATGTATGTATCTTGCAAAGCCAATGAACTGATTAGATTTTGGGGTCACGAGGTCAAAGGTCACAGCGCACATTATGTATGCAAAAACAGCTCGTGATCGCGTTATCTGAACAACCGATTGATGGATTCCTGCCAAACTTTGGTCATGTATGTTACTTGCAGAGCTGATGAACTGATTAGATTTTGGGGTCATGAGGTAAAGGTCAAGGTCATGCGGCTCATTATGTATGCAAAAATAGCTTGTGATCGTATAATCATTAGAACAGATTGATGGATTCCTGCCAAACTTAGATCATTTATGTATCTTGCAGAGCCAATGAATGGTTCATAAGATCAAAGGTCATGGGCTCATTATGTATGCAAAAATAGCTTGTGGACGCATTCTCATTAGAACTGACAGATGGATTACTATTTAACTCAGGAAATCTTGCAGAGCCAATGAACTGAGTAGATTTAGGGTCATGAGGTCAAAGATCAAAGGGTCATATATGTTTATGAGAAATTGCTTGTAATCACGATATTCTGAGAACATGTTAATGGATTACAATTGAACTTGAATTTGAAAAATTTCTTCCGTTTCGGTTTGTAAAATTGCTCTATGACGGAGGCATCATTTTCGACTGCGCGCAGTCGAATTCCATCTAGTTTACCATTCATTAGGTAACTTCATATAGTAAATGGTTGGGAGAAAATAACCCAATTATCGGACAAAATTTGCCCAAATTCGCTTTACCCAGTAACATCTGCCCAACTTTTTTTTACAGTGCATGAGGATCGAGCGAGAATTCGGACACAGCCGACCAGACACAGCGACATATACGGGTATCTTAATGTTTTTTTGTCTTTTCTTTCTTTTTCCCTTTTCTTTTGATTCTTTTCTTTCCCTCCACCTTTTCTCATTTTTTCACGATGGCAGCGCAATTTTAACGGCAATAATATAGGTGGAGGGAGGGTGGTGTCGCACCCTACACACCCCTTGTTAGCGACGCACAGTGGGCCAGAATCGCCTCAAAGTGTGCCAAAATTCAAAATTGGCGAATGTGAATTTTTTTTTTTTTTTCATTCGCTTGGGGAAGAAAACATTCTAAAGAATATTTTTCCACCCATATTTTAATATTTAGCGAGTTTTAAAAGTGTCATATACCCCTGCGAACATGGGAAAATCTATATGTTGCTCCAAAAATAATAAAAGTGGCAACTTTACAATAGGTGTTGAGAATTTATGAAGGGAAAAGCAATCAACTTGATACTGCGTGCACTTCTTGCCTATTGGTAACCCAATTAGAGAATACAATGACCAAATTTATGGAAGCTTCATTTTGGGAAAAATGAGCATTAAATTTCACAAAAAAAAGAAAAAATTGCAATTTTTTATAAAAGTAGCATGTTTATTAGGATTCCGGCCGATTCCCGCAGTGATGTTAATCTCAAAATGTCCGCCCAAACCTAAGCTTTCCATGTATGGTATTTCTTTTTGCGAGAATTTGCTACACTGCATGTGCAGGCACTTTTCCTCCCCACGTCCATCGATTATTATTAGGCATAATCGGTACACATTTGTACTGTTTCGTTTACGCACAGCCGATTCAACGCTCGTCCGCGTAACCATGGCAACGCACAGTGGGCCAGGGAGGAACCAAAGTGCGCCAAAACTCGTTTTTGGTGATTTATTTCTCTTCAATTTTCTTCTTGACCAGTTGAACTGTAATACATTGAGGAATACCTCAGTAAAATATTTAATTCCGGTAAGCACAACTAGGGAATAAATTTACTCCTTCAAACAGCGAAATCCTACATATTCACAGTTTTAGTGCAAAAGTGACTTATTTTAGAAATCTTTCAATTTAACATGAAGTTCTTAAGTTATTGATATGAAATTGCTCTCACATATTCCTGATAGTTTATTTCGTTGCATGAATTGGTTAAAATGTATAGAAACACAATCTTCATGATATATTAAAGGTTAATTCACTGAAAAATGCAGATTTCTGCAGAGTTCCGCTTATATTTTAATGCCACCATTTTGTCTGATGTCTAAGCTTTAAATTGATGTCAAATTTGGCTGCCCGATCTTGCCCGTTGTCATGTTAGAGCCGATTCCCCTTGCCACATTGTCCCGCAAAATATGTTTGTTTTTAGTCCGCGGCTGAATCATAAAGGATTCGCGGTCATAAATCACGGCGCTTGGGGGCGCGTGACACTTGTTCTGACACCGCGGACCAAAATAAACACATTTTTCGGGGCAATGTTGCAAAGTAAACGGCTCTAACATAATAACGGGCACAATCGGGCAGCCAAATCTGGTATCAACTTAAAGCTTAGATATCAGAGAAAATGTTGGTAATACCATTTAAGCGGAAATCCCTGGACATCCAAACATTTCCTATGGATTTATAGAAAATAAATCCCCATAAATTAGTTTTGGCACACTTTGGTTCCTCCCTGGCCCACTGTGCGACGCCCCTGGGTACAACACTAAATTAAGTCTATTCCACGAAAGTTCCTTTTCAACTCTTATGTGGTTTCTCCTCCTCTTTCCACTTCTCATCCACCTTTTTCTTTTTCCTTAATCTCTCTCTCTCTCTTTAAATCTATTTCCTTTCCTTTCATTACCCTTTTACTCTTTACTTAATTAAATTCATAATTCAAATCCTTTGTTCGATCTAATACACTTGATAAACATTCTGTTTGAATATCAGCATTCGGTTTATAAGTCACCCCCCCCCCCCCGTTCTCTCTCTTACTCTCTCAGACTATCTTTGACTCTTATCCTTTCTCCTCTATTTCTATCTTTGTCTCTCTTCCATTTCCCTCTTCTCACATTTTATCTCTCTTCCCTCTCTCTTCTCCCTTGCATCCTAATCTTTTTTTACCACATAATTTCTTTGATTAAAAAAAAAAATATGAATGTTTATTTTGCATGATGTATGTACACTCAATGTAATTCAGCTGTTGAGCTGCTAAATGGTTTTTAATAAATGCCTTTTTTGTTTAAATCAAATCATGTTGTTTCGCTTGTTTTTGGAGTAATTCATCTAAACATAATTTTCTTTTGACATGAGATTGACTTCTACTGAGACAATAACTGCATTCAAGCTTCATGAGTTGTTTCTGAAAAAGTCAATAAGTTTTAATATTTCTCACGTACACAATCACAGGAGAAAGAAGAAAACATGTACTGTAAAAGTAAAACACATAAATATTAACTTTTGCACTACAACAACAAAAAGGGAAAAATAAAAATTCCTTCTTTTTATCCCTGAATACCACCACAATGTGAAGACCATTAAAAGGCCCCTGCAACCCAAGCATTTTTTGAGGGTGGTGTGCCAGAAAATGATTCGGAAAGAAAATAAAAATTATGAAACATATTTTAGATGTTTCAATAACAAAATATATGTTGTATGCATCCCTTCACTGGAATAAACTTGCATTATCGTTAATCTTGGATTTAAATTATAGATCTTGCAATAATTTTTTTTCAGGAAGATATTCTCCAGGATGACATACATTCACGCTCTATAGACACTTTGATAGATCAAGAAGTAATACATGTATTGTACCTTGTAAATACATGTACACAAAATAATACAAAATTGTCTGGCAAGCAAGGCTTTGAGTACCAGAAAAGAAAAAGTAGGCACTTCAAGTAATTCAAACTGATTTTTTTTTTTTAAAGTCTTGGGAAAGATATATGACAGTGGCATCCAAATATTTGAACAGATCAAAGTTAGTCTCACTACAATAGAAAATGATGTTATTTCTTATACATCAACCATACTAGACTTGCACATAGGAAGTACATGTACATTTATATTCCATACCTTTTCTATGAGACTCCAAGTACAGTATAGCTACTGTGATATAGACTTATGCCCTTTTGTGCAGAGCAACTGCAGGATTTAAAGTTTTTTAAATTTGTACATTTTGCTTTCTATTTTATGAATTGACAAGGGATACTGGCAAATTCAGTGCATGAAATAAATGATGTATGGCTGTCTTAAGTATTGCATTGCAGTTAACATGTCATCACTTATGTTAGCAAAAAGAAAAATATCTTTAGAACATGTGTTTACCTTAGTAATGGAAATTAATGCTCAACATTGTGAAAGTTATTTAGTCCCACAGAAAAGGAATGTATTATATTAGGTATAAGCAACGCTTATTCTATTTAAAAACATCGAATATTGTGAATAGCGACCCTCTTCTTCTATTATGAATAGCGATCCTCTTCTCCTTTTATGAATAGCAACCCTCATTTCTTATTATGAATAATGACCCTTATGAATAACGACCCTCATTTTGCATTATGAATAGCGACCCTCATTTTGTATTATGAAAAGCGACCCTCATTTCGTATAATGAATAGCGACCCTCTTTCTGTGTTATGAATACCGACCCTTTTGTAATATTATGAATAGGGACCCTTATGAATAACGACCCCGATTTCCTATTATGAATAGCGACCCTCTTCTAATATTATGAATACCGACCCTCTTCTTTGATTATGAATAGCGGTCCTTATGAATAATGACCCTTATGAATAATGACCCTTTTCTCCAATTATGAAAAGCGGACCTTATGAATAGCGGTCCTTATGAATAATGGACCTTATGAATAGCGAACCTTATGAATAGCGGTCCTTATGAATAGCGACATTGACCCAGGTGTTAGAATGAGTATCCTGGCTGGAATGCTCCCCTGGAAGTGGAGATTGTGCACACACCAGGGAAATGATATATCTGTAAAGCACTTAGAGAACTCCAGGATTATTAAACGCTATAAAAGCTGAATATTATTATTATTATTATTATTCTATTGTGAAAGAAATGGTGTGGATTGATCAGAAAAGGTTGATCATCTAGCATATAAGTATTGGTGTGTACTGCAAGGTTCTGGAATCATCAAAATGATAAGAAATTTGGCCCAGTCTTGGTAAAGTTACAAGCACCGTACACAGAAAGATGTATATGGGACTACACGAACATACATCTGTTCCTATTTTTATGCTGCTGCTGCATGCCATTTTTAGAATATAAAGGCATTTGAAGGGCCATGCTTTTCAGGGGACTTTTTTACTCTGATGTTCTTATACCATTGCTTTTTAGTGGACCCCTCTGTTTCCAACATGTATTTCTTACTTTTGTTTTAAATGCTCATAATTGATTTGTAATGTTTTATTGGAAACATGAATAAATGTGAAATTTGAAATAATGCTCACAAATTATTTATTTCACTTCTTCCCAGAACTCAACCTTCTCTTTAATCTGTATGTGTCTTTCAGATTTAGAAAAGACATTGAGACTCTCCGGTGGAGCGGATGAAAACGAGGGGCGCATCGAAATCTTTCACGACCGTGAGTGGGGCACCGTGTGCGACGACAGCTGGGACATCCAGGATGGAGTGGTAGTTTGTCGACACCTTGGCTACTTTGGCGTTGACACGGTGTACGAGGGAGCTCATTTTGGCGAGGGTTCTGGGACTATATGGCTTGATGATATGCAGTGCAGGGGCACGGAGGACAGGTTGAGTGATTGTTCTGGAGGAAGTAGTTGGGAAGTCCATAACTGCAGTCATGCAGAAGATGCCGGAGTGAGGTGCTCATTGACTTCGGGTAAGTCTTGTGAACAGGATTGTCCTTTTGTAATAATGACAACAAAACATGTACAGTCAAACCTGCTTTAGTGACCACCTGTCTACAAAGACCACCTTTCTACAAGGACCACATTTATTGTTTCCCTTGAAAGTGGTTTTCTCATTTAAACATGTACTAAAGGAACCTGCCTACAAAGACCACTTTTTGTATTTCCCTTGGGCGGTCGCTGTAGGCAGGTTTGACTGTACCTGTATGTCGATCAACATGGCGCAGCTACTGATAATGAACTACCGTTAATCTAAAAGAGAGCAGAAAAATCGGTCTGGTGAAAATTGAACAAAATAGGACAGAAAATGTCAAATTTAAGGTTTTGCAAGGGGCCGGAGGGACTCGAGCCATGGACCATGTTGATGTGATCCACAGTCCATTGACCTATCCACCAGACCACCATACATGTACTTTCATAGATCAAACAAGTTATTCAAAATTCTCTGTTTGGAAACACTCAAAGTAACAGTTATTATCAATTTTAAAACGGTAAAATACAGCCCCACTTTCACACGTGAAGAGCTCTCTAAACACTGCCGAGATTTGTGCAGTCACTCTAGGGACTGATTTAGCATAAGCAGACGATGTCCTATAACAATTCACACATTTCCAGTACCCGTTTTGTTGTCTCCTCTTCACTTATTTCTCTTACTTCACCAGTTTCAACATAACCGTTTCATCTGTTGCCTCACTATAAATTTCGGACGCGGTCTCATTTTGATGAAAAAATGCAGCTACATGAAAAAAATAGAGAAATCAGTGGTAGCTTCACACTGGATTGTAAGAAAGAAGCAATTCAGCTACATACACCGAAGCATGTGCAGCATTTCAACCAAGATCGGACACCATCCAATTTTAGGCTGATATTTCAGTGGTTTTTAAGTCAGTCGATCATTTATCCTTGCACTGGATTTTCATAAGCAAAGAATTATAATTTTCAGCATCAGCATCACTTTCCATTTGTAATGGTGTGTAATACGTTTGAAAATATGTTCATTAGTTATAGGATGTTGTCTGCGTAAGCAGGATTGGACCCTGATGTTACATCATCAAAACATGGCCAAACTTTCTTGTGAAACCATCGTATAAGCCAGATCCTGAGAATTTCCTTATTTGTGTTAATTTTTTGTCATTATCTGAAAAGTAGTTGACCTAAAACTTATGTGAATATCATCTGCAAATTTCCTGGTTTCTAGGGATAAATTATTGGTCATATTTCATACTTTGTAATTTTCATTGAATATTCTCTGTAACTCTGTAATTTGAATGGCACAACTATGTGTGTATATCGTCGCCTGGGTGGCAGAAGGGTGTTAGCTTAAATTTCAGGTTAAAAAAAAGAAACATTAGGCAGAAGGGCGTTAGCACTAATTCGCCTTTTATTGTTATGAAACTGACTTATTTCTGAGAGAAAAAATTGTGGCCGTGTTCTACTATAACATTTCTATTAGTCTTTTAAGTTTTGAACCAATTTTTCGGACAGAAAGCAGTTTAAATATAAAACAAATTTTTAAAGGGGAATAATTTGAAAAGTAGTTTTCGAGTCGCTAACGCCCTTCTGCCACCCGGCCGACGATATGTGCGGTAAGTTGCTTTTTTGTGTGTGGGGGGGGGGGGGGATTAAATCATTGACTTCTAATAATATACATCTTTACTGCTTTCTGATAATAATCCAAACTTGTGGAGTGTATTTAGAATTGGTTCGATTGATTTGATTATATTTTTTCTATTGATTTGTCCTATTTAATACATCAGGGGGGTGTTTAACAAAACTTCTAAGTCAAACTTATTTCTAAGTTAGACTTAATAGAATTATGGAAAGCCATTTGTAGACTTAAAAGAAAACATATTCAAAAGCAAAAAATTCAAGTAGTTTAGACTTTTCATAAATTCCACATCAAGAACATGATACTTCCCATGATAATAGAAAATATGATTGATTTACAACTTTTTATGCCTTTTTAAAATACCTTTTACAAAATATTTTCAAAGATGCTAACCGCTTTCCGTAATTGTTTAGTCCAACTTTAATAGAGAGAAGTTCAACTTAGAATCTTTGTGAAACACCTCCCTGTTCTACCCCTTGTTAATCATTGACTGGTGTAGGTAATGGAGAAGTGCGATTGGTTGATGGCCCCTCCGAACGGAAAGGGCGCCTGGAGATCTTCAAGGACTTTCAGTGGGGCAGCGTCTGCGATGATAGCTGGGATAGAGCAGCTAGCGAAGTGGTCTGCAGGCAGTTGGGCTTCTCTGGGAAAGCGGATTACTTCACAGCCGATCAGAAGGGGTATGGTACTGTGGAGGGCCTGATTTGGCTCGATTC